GAAAACAAGCCCAAAAGAAGCAACACATACATGATGTTGTGTAATTTTAAACCAAAACTAAGTCCTCAGGATGACTTTAAGACGTGAACATGGTCATTTTTGTTTTGTAACATTAAATTAAAATTATTTTAATAAAAAATAAATAAAAAATTCCCGATCCCTGATCTTTTTCTCCCGATTCCGAACTTTTGAAAATCACGTGATCGGCTCCGATCCCCGATCACGTGATCGGATCAGGACATCTCTAATGTGTTTAATTGAATAGTAAAGGGGTTTAACCTTAGTGGCAGGTTGTGTGTGAGAGAGAATAAATAAGACAGCCCAATATTTAAAAAAAAATATTTAGCATATTTCGCAACTTCCCGCAATTTCACGGCATAAAATCACATAAAAACCCCGCATGTTTAATCGCATAATCAAGGATTTTAGCCCGCGTTTTTCTGGAGGTTCTATACAACTAGCAGACACAATAGCTTCTTTCTTTTATCTCTTTAATTATCTGGCATGGTCTCAGACACAAGACGGCACAGTCACTCATCTGTGTGCTGCCACATCTCTTGACCTCAGTTCTTCACTGACCCAACGCTTTACACGGGCTACCAGTAAACACGTTAGCTGCAAATGCAAGCAACACGCTTCAGAAGCAATCCAGGGTCCAAGCACCTTGGGTTGGCCCAAGGCTGAAAGGCCTTCTGGACAAACAGGTCCCGTCCTTTCTGAACGGCCTATGGTTACTGTAAATGTTTCAACAAAAAAAGGCAAAATACGTGTTTAAGTGTGAAAATATCAAGAAACGTTAAATGTTTTGGGGAAAATCCTTCACTATGAGTGTAAGGTTAAAACAATACACTCATAGTTTTGGTGAGGAAAAAACTGTGAATGTTAACTGTGTGTGTGTTAGAAGTACTTCAATCACCATTAAATGGCATCGCTGTTGCATCAGCTACATATGAGGTGTCGGATGTGATCTGTCATGAAACCTGAAAGCAGAGAAGTGATTAGGGAATGGGGGAGGAGTTTGACCCCAGTTGACCTTTTACTGTGACTGGATCTATCAAGTTTCATTCACTGATATAACCCTGTGTACACAGAAACATTCATGATCTACAAATCAATACACAGTGTGTTCTTACCAGAAATCGGTGTTGAAATATATGATGGACTGAATTCAACACTTCTTTGGTGTGTGTGTGTGTCTTTATTAACAGCCAGTGCTTACCTCCGTGAATTATTTCCAATGATTTCTTATCTCCATTCTCCTCCAATAGATCCATAATCCATGCGCTGTATGATGATGATTCTTCTTACGCAATGTGTGCTTATTATTTTTTGTTGACAAAATATAGCGATAGCAGGAAACTAAAAAAGTCGCTGAGAGGCTGAGGCCGGGCCTGTTTGATATTGTGTGACACGCTACAAAAAATAATTGCTGAGATCAAAACTCTGTTGAAAAATAATGTAGTTTAATGAAAACTGGGATGATCAACTTATTTTCCTTAGACATGTACATTGTTATAATAAAAGCAATCATTAAACTTGCGGTCAACAAAAAGTACAAAGACCCTATGTCACCCTCTCTTCCACATACACCTCACGCAGGTGAACAGGATTATTATGAGTGCCGCCCATATATCCATGTGACACAAGCCAACCAATCAATAGATCAAACAAATATCTTATATTAAAACAAAACGCATTACTACACACGTTTCATGGCTCCTACAACCTCCTTGTTAGAATGGAATCTTGTTATGAACACAGTAGACATTATATCCTTAAATATATCTACATCTCTCTCTCTAAGGCAGGGGTGCCCAACCTTTTTTTAACCGAGAGCTACTTTTAAAGTTGCCAGCCTGCCGAGATCTACCAGTCCAAATAGAGAGGCGTAGCCATTACTGACAGCCTACTGCCAGGTAAATACACACTTCTACTTGTATAAAACTGACCTTTGTACGATTAATACTCCATAAAATACTGCAGATCCTTTATCTTACCTCTTTCTAATGTACACACAAGTATTTAACTGAAGTTACCCAACAGTGTTGTTGATACAGAGTTGGAGTTTATCCACACGTCACTACAGTGGGTAATGTTTTCAAGAAGCATTAAACAGTGCTGCCACATATGACACAGGGAAACAAGAAAAGACTCGGAACCCTTTCTTTGCCATTATATAAAAATAGTGTTGCTACAAAAGTATAAATTAGGCTTACTAATAAGAGAACTCAGATCTGAAGCTACACAGGAATCTGCTGCCAAAGTGCAATAAAAAAGACAACATTAATAGAATCAAACCCTTTTTTTGTTGCATTTTAGTAGAGTATAAAAAGAAATGCCTTTTTATAGGATGCAAGCAACACTAGGTTCTTAACCTGAATTCATTATAATGAATAAGTTCAAACAAACTAAAACTTACAGCAGATTAATCACGGTATCTAACTTGAGTTTTTATTATATCAAAAACCTGTTGAAATGCTTCTGTTATTGTTACTGTCCCCAGGAATGCTTCTTTCACATCTTCGCCGTCTTTGAAAGACTTCATGTGTTAAGCAAGAACGTGACTGACACGATAAGATGCTCTGGTAGCAGCCTTGCTCTTGTTGTTGGGCTTGGTGGAAATGGACTGCTGTGCATTTAGCTGTCCTTTCAGGCCCCTCCCCTTTTGGGAGCGTAGGGCAGAATTAGGAGGGAATTCCGTCTCGTAGCGTTTGTGCACTGTTTTGAAATGCCGCTCCTAAATTACCCTTCTTCGATAAAGCCACGCTCGCATTGCAGATGAGAGACAGATGGACTTTGAATTGGAATAAATACACAAATAATCATCCTCCCACTTGGAGTGAAAATTATATATTTTGGGCTTTTTTGCTTCTGCCATAATTGCGGTCTTGTGTGTGTGCGGACTGTCACTGCTGTTGACACGGACAACGTCAGCGAACTAGTGCCCACCAGCCACGCCCCGACACAGTCACACCGGCCAATCACAAAGCTTTGATGCGTTCAAGTGCATTATTCTGGCACAGGAAGATTATGTTATAGGACATTTTCGATAAACAGAATATTGTTGTTCTATTTTTAGACACATCTCGCGATCGACTGGGAATCTCCCCGCGATCGACCGGTCGATCGCGATCGACTGGTTGGGCACCCCTGCTCTAAGGCAACAAGATTTGAATGGGGTTTCACACATCCTCCAACAAACGATGAACAATGAACAGAACTTCAAACAGAACACCAGATGGAATTCATCTGATTCAGTTGTGGCTGGTGTAAAAGTCACTTCCATCTGTATAGATAGCCTATTCTACCTTAATTATGTAGACATACCTCTTTTGAGCTGAGACCATATAAATCTGCTGCCTCCATCAGGTAGTCTCTCAAAAGCATCTCTTGCTCTGTTGAGAACACCTGGACGTCCAGTAGCCTACTCTTTGGGGTGATTTGGATCCCTGACTCTCCAACCTCAGCCTCTTTGTATGGAACCGGTACAGGGTGACATGGCATATATCCAGGGACTTTGCCACTGCCCTGACTGATTTGCCCTCCTGAACTTTGAGTTCACATTTGAGGCCCTCTGCAGCAGAGGAAGTGGCACTCCCCTGTCTGTCTTCCTCTTTCTGACATTTGGCATACTGTAAACACACGCACACACTTTACTGTACAGTATGTTATTGTTTATTTTTACAGGGACAATGCACACCAATCAACAATATTGATCATTCGAGCAAATGAACCATCATTGTAAATGTGCCATGTTACAACCGTCCCAGGTGGTCCGTGTTACAACCGTCCCAGGACCACCAGTCATGTTTTCACCCCCTGTGAACCTGCCTGGTTGCTAGCTTGACCCATATTTAGCTATTTATATTTGTAGCTTACAAAACAGTGATTCTAATAATACTAGTTTGGATTCCTAGACATTTGACCTCAAGACAGTATCCAAAAAATACGTCATATCATTTTTGTTAATGTTTTACCTCAGAAACACACTTTTCCTGATATATTTCGCAACAGATTTAAACGTGGCTCCTTTTTTTCTCACAGCAAACTTTCCATCTAACTGAGCATTTGCAGAGTGAGTTTCATCACTCTAGCTTGTTTGTGATTGGAGATATTGAAGGCGTTACAACTGTCCCTGGTCTCCTACAAACGCTATTGGCCAACTCCATCACTCCATTTCACCATCACATGTGTTTTTATCAAAGCGACTTTCTAATGTTCTACGGCATCAGCTCCACCTCCAGGGGTGGACTGGGACTAAAAATCAGCCCGGGACTCTCGACCGGCCCACTTCGGTACCGCCGGCCCACCTCGGTACCGCGAGTAAATACCGCTAGTAAATTGTCAACGGTGCTAGTGCCTTATCTGACCGGCCCACATCGTCCAACCGGCCCACATCGTCCGACCGGCCCACTTCAGTACCGGCCCATGAGGATTCGTCCCGATGGCCAGTCGGCCACTGTCCACCTCCCTCATAGACTCCAGCGTGACCAGAACGCAGCCGCCAGACTCCTCACCCACACCAAATCATGGCATCACATCACCCCGGTCCTCAAAGAACTCCACTGGCTTCCCGTCTCTCATCACATCAACTACAAACTCCTGGTCCTCACATACAAAGCCCTCCACCATCTACCTCACTGACCTCCTCATCCTTAACCAACTCCCCCGGTCCCTCAGATCCACCTCAGCCGGTTTGCTTTCCACCCCCAAGGCCAAACTCCGGAGCCCTGTCTGTCTGTCGTTCGTCTTCGTCTGCCCTTCTCTCTCCCCCCCCCCTTCCAAACTGTAAAGCGACTTTGAGTCTTGAAAAGCGCTATATAAATTCAATTTATTATTATTATTATTATGGACACTTTTCCCAGTTATACATGATGATAAGATAACGGAGGGGGACCTTCTGGCTTAGAAGAACCCCAGACTGATGTCCCTGGTCATTCAAAGTCAGCGCAGGCTTTATAAGGAGGACACAATCATGCAACAGGTTTAAAGTCACTTACTTTAAAGGTGAATTCTCCAGTAGATGATCTGTAGTTTAAGATGACCGTTCAACCAGTGGAGCTTCTGTTTCCCAACCGGACAAAGTTGGATTCTGACTCAGAGTTTAATCTTTCTTTCTTTTGTTGATTTAAAGTGTGGTAGCTGTACTCACTGGCACATGTGCACTCACTTTGACTCTGAGCACGGCATGTCTATAAATGGAGCTCATGTCCTGCCTGCCCACCCCACTGACACACACACATGCGCACACAGACACGCGCACACACACACACACACACACACACACACACACACACACACACACACACACACACACACACACACACACACACACACACACACACACACACACACACACACACACACACACACACACACACACACACACACACACACACACACACAGTCTGAAGGTTTGATAGAACCTCATATCTCCAGTGGTTGTAGAACTTGAATGTGTGTATTATAGGATGTACTTTTCTTATTCACTTGTCACTCTAAGTGTGTCCTTCCGGAAAAGCACCTGTCACCAGTGACACTGACATACTGGGGGGGGGGGGAGCTTACTCACTAGTCCCACCATGTGGTTAGCTGCAGTATGATCAGCTTTGAAACATTTATTTCTAACATTGTTGAAAACCTAATCATACAATTTAACGGTAAATAAATGTGCTTATATATACAGTCTTTGTCCCACCAACACAGTAAATGGGCCTCAGCCAATCAGAGGGACTGTGGTATGTAGTGTCCAAAGGCATAACACCTGATCCCAAATTGCTCCCATAGGCATGTTAACTGTATGGAAGTGAAAGTAAATCGCTTTGGATAATAGTCTGGACGTTTTACATGTTGTAAATGTTGTACCCAAGCCAGCACATTGGATTAAAATTATATTTTAATTTTAAAAAAACGGCATACTTCTGCAATGTATAGTATCACATGTATATATTACATTTTAATTTACTTTTTCTACTGGTCTATTAAGAGTATAAAAATGTATGTTGAATTGTATATTGTGTATTCTTAAGATACTATTTTGATATATATCTTCTGTACTGTTGATTTGTATATATTTACTGTTCATGTTTATTTTGTATTATATTTTAACTCGTGTAATACCTGTTAACCTTCTGCTGAAGATGAATGAATAAAGTTGATGTTATCTAATATGATCTAATCTAGTCATCACACGCTTGCACTCGTGCTGCCATTTTTCACATACAAGCGGGACATTCTGAACTTCAACACTAACCACTGCTGAGGTTTTTATTTGACCTAGTATCTATATTGGAGCTTTTTTATCTTGTCAAACAATTACAGCACGATACGATTCTGGCCCATATTATGTATTCTTCTTTTAGGCCTGTAACATCATTTTCAAAGACAGCAAACTCTCTAACAGTAGAATGAACTAGAAAATAGTTAGAAAATAAAATATACAAAATAGTGCTCCTTCATTTAGCTTCAGTAAAATGATAGTTGTTGGTGAGAGGGAGACAGATATGACATCATCATTATTAATTCTTCAATTCAACCTTTATTCAAACAGGTGAGTCAGCCAGGTACAACTTTCATTTCTTGTGACAGTCTGGAACCAAAAAGCCTTTCACTCATGTTCATCCTGAAGATGTGTGAGCTAACAACTATAACAATAACAATAAAGAACGCTGTAAACAAAGTTGGTATGTGTTTCTTCTGTTAAAACAAAAAAAAAAAAAAAAATATTGCAACAAACATCTCTCAGTCGTTTTCCAGTTTTCAAGCTATTGTGTAGCTTGAGCAAAAAAAAAAAAAAAAGCAAAACTACGGGCAACAAAAGGTACAGTATATACTATATGTTTGAATCATTATCTGGCAGTAGTGATTAAAACAACAATTTAAATAAAATAAAACACAAATACAAAACCCACAAACTGCCTGGAACACAACAGGTCCAAAGAAACCAGCTTCATGTTTTTATGAAATGGTGTCATATGAATAACTTTAAGGGCCAATTTGAGGGAAAACAATGTTTGAAATCTGACATTTGGGCACAAAGGCGCAATGTTGTGAAAGAATCATGCTGTTATGAGAATGAAGTCTCCGTTTTGAATGAAGTGGCACTTTTTGGAGGAAAGTCATGGAACGATGTGATCATTTATAATATAAGAATCAACTGGAAATTAGAAGATAACAGAGTAACAGATTTATAATGGAAAGCAGCAATATGATGTGTAATCACTTTGAAACGTTCAATTGCAAGAATCAAGTGGCACCTTTACAGGAAGAAATCACAACATTACTGGAACAAATGTGCCATTATACGATGTTGTGCAATAATATTGATACATATTACAAGAATATAGACACCACTTTATGTAATGCTCTTCTAGTCTGTGTCAGCAGAGAAATGTAATATTAGTTGTACGTGTATCTTCCTTAATTATACTCATTGTGGCCAAATGTCATAGACAAATAAGTCATTTGGAACTACATGAATCCAAACAGTTGCACAAATAAAAAAATCCCTTCAATGGCAAACAGAGTGAGATCGCTGCAGGAAACGGCTGAATGGCACAAAGCTTTGAAACGCTGACTCAAAGCAGGCCTCTCCAGGACTCATGAGGAATGTATCACAGCGGTGCTTAAAGCATTCAAATCATTCGCAGTACACTCTGAGGTACAACTAAAGCAGTAGTGAAAGTAATACACACAGACAGTGCTTAACAAAAAGAAGTATATTCACCCGTTACGCTTACATTCACGTAGCAGATGACGCTGACCGTACCTGCAAGTGCACAACCTGCTGCACTGAGAACACTGAAAGGTTGGCTTCATTCAAATGTATTCTGTCAAAAGGTTCCACATAACTGTATTAGGTTAGTTGAAATCAATAATATTAAGTGGAACCTAATATGTTTTAATTAAACTTGATATTATTGCTTTCAACTAACCTAATACAGTTATGTGTAATCTGTTGATTTTATAGATATAATTAAAGTCAAAGTTTCCGTTTTAAGCGTGTGTTTCAACATAACTAATAAAGTCAACATGTGTGAAGGCTCGGCTTCAGCGTGTGAAGCCTCAGGATGTCAAGTTGCTTTAAGACTTTTTCAGCTTTTCAAGGTCAGTAACAATCAGAGAGAAGACAAAGGAGGGTGAAGGAATGCTGTGGTCACCTATTAGGAAGCTATTACCACCTGCAGAACCCCCCCGCTGTACGTCCACTTTGAGTCCAGGACTCAGGCTGAACTTCTGATGTGGTTAGAAATGTGTGACGTGCGCTGACATGCAGGTCTGTCTTCACAGGTTAAATGCTTGTCGTAGTCTAATGTACAGTATCTACAAGGAAGGTGGAACAATAATACTTTAAGACTGTTGTTGAGGAGTTTGATAGTAGAGCTGGCCTTATTACTTGTTACTGACCACAGATTATTACTGGTGAAGTACAATGTAGAGGTAAAGCTGGTGTGTGTGTTCTGTCGGATCCACTAACCAGACATTTGATCCAAAAAGGTGCTCTGTGTAGCATTTAACCACGGAACAGCGTCAGCAAGCTGTTAGAATGACACACAAACATATTCCTGCTGCACACATTGTTCTGATTTTCCTATCGTTGCCTTTTTAAATTGAAGTAGTGATAACTTTCACCACTTCCACACTTTGTTAACAGAAGTGGATCATTAAATAAATCGGGTTGCCCCAAACAAAGCAGTTACTGCGTAACTGAAAATACATCAAATTATATTTTACAAAAACACAATATATCCCAATAATCTCACAACAAATATGGTGAATGGTTGGCCTACTGTAAAACACGATAATACGACTAACTAATAACTCCTTGGAGACTTGATCTGACGGGACAGATGTTCTTATCAATAGATTTACACATTACTTTATTCATTTAGACATTTCTTTAGTTTGATTGGAATTCTATATTTGGTAAATGACTAGTTGTAAGCTAGCTAGCCGTCACAGAGCGTGACACAGACTAGGTTTTAGGCCAGCTGGTGCAACCTGAGTGAAAGAATCAACGTGATAAGCTGGGAACCATAATGATCTACATTATTCTCTACGCTGGCTGTCTTAAAACTTTACAACACAGAAACAGATTATAGCATGCTAACATGCTAATGTTTATCATTAACCTTCTTAGAATGCAGAGGTTAGCAGGTGAGCATGCTACGCTATCCTTAGTGTACAGCTTTAGAGCTATCATATTTCACTCTGGGTGTGTTTGACATACATCAATGATTGAAATGCTACACACAGCACATTTGAGGGTAAAGGAAGAGATGCTATCCGTTACCTGTTGTTTTCCGATTGTCTGTTGGCCAAATATTTGACTCTTTATCCCTCACACACTCAGCCCTTCTGCATGCTATTCCAACAGTCTTTCAGATGTTCTTTCTTCTTCCCCCCACAGTCCAGCCGTCCTCTCTTCCTCCCATCACTCCCAGAAGATGTTGGTGATGTCAGAGTCCAGGCTGAAGATCCAGATCAGTAGCGGAGCTGAGATCAGGACAAACGACCAGGACACGCCGTTCAGTGATTGCCGCATCCTCGCCATCAAGCCCGGGCTCACCCCCGTCCTCCGCTGCTCCTCTTCCTCTTCCATGGTCTGTTTGAGAGAAGGGTTGCAACAAAGGGTAAAACAGACCTTATAGAGTGGTGCAGGGATGATGTATTTGTGTAAGCCAACACAGAAGTTAGCATCACAGGTTCTTGGTAAGGGTTTTTCAATTGGATAATGAAGCTAACACATTTTGTTCAGCAGGAAAATCTCCGCATTTTATGAATTTTGAAGTGTATATGCAATAAGGCTGTGCATCTTCACTGGCCTCACGATTCGATTACGATTATCCTGTCTTCGATTCGATGCATCCCCATGCACCACGATTCATACCAATGCGTTGCATCCTCGATTTTCTATATTACTGCGCATGGCTTCTTTTTCATCAATGAATACATGCAGTAAATACATATGAACTCTCTTTTTATTATTTAGAAAGTGCTTCAGAAATCAATAAATGTCTTGACATTCATTTATAAACCAAAATAAATCAATTGTATAGCTCTAGCTCCTCAAAAAATAAATAATCTAATGCTTCTGCAGCTTCTAGCAACGGTCTTCTGTTAAAGAAAGGACACTGAAGGTCCTGGATGTGGCATCACGAACATGACTTGAGTCTGAACACAGCAGACAACAGGAGTATTTACAACAGAATATTAAAACTAAAATAGTGCTTATGGCGCATTTCCACTGCAACGGGGTAGCCCCGTTTAAGCATCCCTAAGCGTCCTCGCTCAGGCCTCGGGCTGCCTCGCTGGCCATGGCGCATTTCCATTACAGTTTAGGACCTGGGGTAGCAACGCAGTGTAGGCGGGGCGATCGGCTTTGTTTTTGTTCACATTTCGAGTTGTTCCGTCGAGCTCCCGCTGGATTTGATCATCCCCAATGAGATGTAGGAACGTCGTCACCTCCTCGGTCGACCACGGTGTGCTTTTCTTATTAGATGTAGCCATTTTTGTAGCTCCTCCGTTTACAAAATGCTGTTTATAAAAATGCTGCAAGCTTGCTTCTAAATATATATGCGACGCTAGGGATGAACTCGCGCGCGATCTTGTGACGATTCTCTCTGACCAATCAGCAGTCGAGAGTGTTGACGTCACTAGTTCAGCTCTGGCCCTGGTCTGATAGAACCACGATTTTATGAGGCCGGAAAAAGAGGGAAAAAGTACCCGCTAGCCGGTACTAGGCCACCAAAAACTGGCCTGGCCGCTTGAGGACGGTTAAGGACGCTTAAACGGGGCTACCCGCTGCAGTGGAAATGCGCCATTACATTCTCTGTCTTACTGTTACATAAATCCCATGATTGTATGAGATTAAGTTAGCTTCATCATCTCAATCAGTGATTAAGTGAATAATAAAGTTTCTATCAGGTTACTATCAGCCTGTCACTCATTCTTTTCAGGGGGGGGGGCGGGGTTTGGAGGAACAGAGATCGCGGAAGCTTTTTCCTCCTGCCTTCACAAACTTTACACATGTACCGTCTGAAAATAGCAAGAGGACATTCATATTCTGCAATCCAAGACTTAAAGGGCCCATTGCATGCTTTTCCGGTTATTACCCGTCTCCTTGTGTGTTATGAAGGTGTCCATGCATGTAAACAGTCTGCAAAGTCAAAACCCCTCAAAGTACACCCTGTAGGGAGTAAAACTCTAACACAGAAAAGACCTCCCCCAAAAGCCTCGTTGGAGATTTCTCAGTTTCCATTGTTTACTTCCTGCCCCGCGTGACGTAGCTGCACCGCGTGAGGTCACTTCCTCTGCCAGCCGACCATATTAAGTGTCGTAAAACCTGCTTCTTTTCAAAGCTCTATCCAGTCATGTCGCGGAGGGTCTGTTGCCTGTCTTGTGTGGAGAAATCCACAATGTTTGCAGTACCGAAGGCAGAACCACGACGAAGTCAGTGGTTGACATTCCTTTTTAACACTGTTCCAGCTGATTTACCAGCCGGTACTGTTCTGTGTGCGCGGCATTTCACGGACCAAAGCTTTAAAAACTTAACAATGTTTAGCTTCGGACTTGCAAAGCTGATATTGGAGGACGATGCTGTTCCTACTTTGTTTGGACCAGCGGGAGATTCGGGTACACAACCTGTAAGTATTCATTGTGGTTTGTGTATTTATTCTGTTTAAAACAAACAATGTATCTACCACGACTGTGTAAATGCTATGCTAATGCTATGCTACCGAGGTAAACACGAGGGCTAACGAGCATTCCCAGACCTCAACACCGATGTTAGCACATGGCCTTACATGTATCTCATAGCAGGAGAATGTCTGCAAACACACACGAAATACTCATAGACAGTATACTCCGGGTGATTTAACCGTACGGTCAGTAATTACAGTTGCCGTTCGTGTATTCTACCGAGCTACCATTAATAAGCTAAGCTAGAAGCTCTAACCTAGAGATGTTATGAAAACATTGTTTTCATGCCAGCTACAATGAATGACCGAACGTAGCAGACTAACTGTATAATATTGCAATTGTAAGATGTTCTTGCTAAGCCTAGACTAGCTGTTAAACTGCATATTAGCTGGCAAGCTAACTGTGTTGATTACTGATAGATAATCATAGCTGGAGAATTTAGTCTGCAAACACACACAAAATACTCATAGACAGTATACTCTGGCTGATTTAACGTACGGTCAGTCGCCAAACATAATTACATTGAAGTTGGCGGTCCTAGCAGCTATGCTGTAATGTTGTCCATCACAGCACGTCATTTCCACACTATGGCTTGAATATTAACTTGTGCATGTGCTTTTTTTTTATCAGGTTTGTCCAAGAAACTTCTGAAACTTACACAGAACAATGACTGTGACACGAAGTTGAAGAGGTGGCTGCGCAGCATACAAAACCATGTCTACTGGAGTGCGACGAGCACAACCTCTGGGCCGGAGAAGGTGGCAAGGTGGACGTCACTGGTCAACCACCTACAAAACGTTCACGTGCATGATGACCCCCTGTTCCCCAAGTGCACACATCCTGTAGGAGCCGCAAGCGATGCAAATAAACCTTACCTAAAAGGTGGTAAGTTCAATATTTCACTTCCTTCATAAGATCAACAATATAGAATGTAAATATAACATTGTTGTTATGGCAAATTATTGTTGTAATGTTCTAATGTGCTGGTGATTTACCTAATGTCTTTGTCATTTTACTCAAGGCTCAATAACACTCGCCAGAGTTGAAACGATACTCACCAACAAGAGAGTTCTCAAAGATGTGCTAAAGCTAAGCCATCACTACCAGACCTCATCCCTGGAGTCCTTCCACAACTTAATTCTGCGTTTTACCCCAAAAAATTTGGTTTTCCCCTTCATTGGAATGTTGTGCAGGTAATACACTGTATACTTTATTCTGTAGCATCTTATAACACAGTCACTGTTTAGTGGCATGAGGGTTTTATTCTGTCATAACACAAAGTCTAATTTTATTTTTGCGAATCCACGTCCCAGAGGACCTGTCAACTCAATTTGACAGGCCCCCCAAGGAGGAAATGATTGTCAGCCGTTTCTCCCGTTTCCCCCCAAAGGAAGTCGAAATCCTACATATTGTCCAGCCAGATATGGAAACTCCTGGCGGATCCGGAGCACAACACACGACGGAATCACCACTCTGATGCCTCGCCCTAAATATCCCCAGCACCAGCTTACAAAGCTGCGATACGCAAGATATCGAAAACGCCTATCAGGAGAGGAATGGATGATGTACAGCAGAGGTGCCCAGTACGTCGACCGCGGGCGACCGGTCGCCCGCGGGGGCAATGCTGGTAGATCGCGAGTCATTCTTAAAAAAAAAAAATCCAGCTCCGTTAAAATAGACTAAACGGGTTTTGATCCCTCCTCCCTGCCACTTAATTCAGGAGTTTACTTGATTGACAGAAAAAGCGACCTATCGCTTTCCAGTTTGTTAACCCAGAATGCAAAGCGATACAAAATCAGTCAAGTGCCGGGAAAACTCAAATTAAGTTAAAGAGACTAACAAGAGACAAACAACAAAATGAGTGCGGGACCGAGCAAGAAGCTAAAGACAAACCACTTCCACCCAGAATGGGAGGAAGAATATTTTGTTGTGATGTCACATTCAAAGGTTATTTGCCTTATTTGTAAAGCAAGCGTCGCTCTGCCAAAGAAAGGTAACGTGGAGAGGCATTATCGGAGTGTTCACAAGGCATATGACAGCGACTTCCCTCCGAGTAGCGAGTTGAGAAAGGTCATGTATTATTGCTACACAAATATTATCTTGCAGTCTTAGTGTCGCCAACTCGTGTCTAATATGCAAAAAGACAAACAAATGCGTCTATGGTCGGTGTATTTTCGACCTTTCCAATCGAGACGAGATCTCTCTCTCCCGTCTGTGCGCGAGGGGGCGGGGCAGTTTACACACACGCGGCTGCTAGATGCAGAAACACACGGAGGGGATGGCGGAGAGAAGCGCTCCAAGGTGTGGTTAAATGTTACCCGTCTTGAGGCGGACAATGCTCCTTGCCAAGAGAGTTCAGCATGTGAGGGTGGTAACACGAGTAATGTGTCTAAACATTTAGAAAAAGTGCAACACATCCAGACGGAGGAATGCACCGGGTTCGACTGTCTTTCTAGCAGCTCTGTAGCCCCATCCACGAGTAACGTTTCCACGTCAGGTGTTATGTATGCTAGCAGCAACACACAGAGTTAACACCATGATACAAACACGGGTTAATGATTAGAGGAAACTGAGTTACTCTTTATTTTGTTAAAGTTTCAGCTATTCTGTTTACAGTTCTGTCATCAGATTATTTAATACGATTTGTTAAAACATTGTTGTTTCTTTTGATGTGAAATATTATTTATTTTATTTAAATAAAAATCAATGTTAATTTTGTAAACAATTTGTTAATTTAATAATATATGTATTTTTGAATCAAGTATTACTCTTTATTGTCTTCATTGTTAGTTTCCACATGCCTAAAACAACCTCAAGCTACATCTAAAAGTTGATGGCTAAATAAGAGCGCTTGAGAAATTGTGCAAGGCGTACAGTAATAGTCTGAATAGTCGATTAGTCGTTTCATTAATCGATTATCAAATTAGTCGTTTGTTGCAGCCCTATTATCCCATGTATAAATAAAACGTGTTATTCAGCAACCCTTGCAATTTGGGATTTTATTTTTGGTTGGTAGACCTCGGTGAGCTGGTCCTTTCAAAAGTAGCTCACCAGCCCAAAAAGTGTGGGCACCCCTGATGTACAGTGTATAAATATACATTCACACATTTTGTACATTTGTAAAAATAAAGTTTGATGGAAATACTTAGTAGCCTTTCTTTCCTGAATTATTTGCTCCTATAAAATATCATTCATATATAGCAAACCATGATTTGATTTTTCATCAAACGGTAGTAGTTTATTACAGGTAACAATAACTTACTCTTCTTCCGTTGTATTTGTCAAAGGTCCGAAACTGTATTTATAAATATTGTGGAGATTCTGCAGGGTGTATGGGTTCAAGCAGTTAGGCTCTAGTCCTGGGTGGTCAACCATGCAGTTAATGGGTTCTGGAACTTGCAGCATGCATGTTACAACCTATGAAGGTAAGATGTGTTACAAAACACGTTTAGCAATTAAACCAACTATGGGAAAGGTTTACAAAATAAACATTCAATTACTAAGGAAGTAATAAAAGTGCATATAGTCTATTGACTTGAAAAATATGTATGCTGTATATCTCGGTATATGTGTGCTACTGTTGGTGTTTTCAGCTAGCTGCCGACATAATGTAACTAAGCTAGGCTACCTTTCTTATGCTATTGCAGCACACGTTTTCTCCGTCACTTGGCATCAAAGCGCAGTTTCCACAACGGCACCCAAATAACAACAGTTGTAGGTACATCTGATGACATCTGAAATGTAAGACATATACTAGATAAAAACGTACCACAATGACACTGTTTGGTCTGCTCTAGTGAACGGCGAGGCAAGACTCGCGATTTGGTCTATTCTAGGATCGAACGGAGGTTCGAAATTGTATGCTCCATACTGTACGCCATTGTATGCTATATGTAAGCTATCTATTTATCTATATAACTATCTATCTATCGATTCTCAAATCTAGTATTGCTATGTTGCTAAGTACACGCTAAACCACTTTACAGCAGATGTCAACAGGGGCAGAGCCTCTCTGGTGGTTGACTAATCAGAACAGAGTGGCAGACGCACAGGAGGGTGGGGGCAGGAACTCCATCGAGCCGTTTAGCACAGGGAGTGAAAACTCATACTATACAGAGATAATGTATGAGAAACCAATCTGAGTTTGGAAAATTGCACAGTATTTTTCTATTGTAATATCCCTCAACAATGGTATTATGATCAGTAGAAAGGACCATGCAATGGGCCCTTTAACTAAATCCACCAAAAACCTGAGATGATTGTAACGCGAGTATTTCTTTAAAACATAAATCCCTCCCTGTGTCTCGGAGCCGCAGCGACACGGAGTGATTCAGAGCGGGTCATTCTGCTGGTTCTGGACTGGTGTTCTCGTGTTGGAGGAGAAAGCAGACTGCTCCGTGTTTGGTGTCGTAGTCAGGTCTGTTCGCTGATCTCTGCGTCACCGACCGATTTGATATTAAAGTGACAGAAAAAAAACTTTTCCGTAAAGCCGCGGGCGTAAAATCAGGAAGCAACGTTACTACGCTATAATCGATTATGTTCTGTCACTGCATCGATGCAGAATCCTCCACGTCCGCATCGCGATGCATCGTAGAAACTATTCATTTCAACACCCCTAATATGCAATCTCTGGAAGATAAAAACTAACGGTAGCTAAAAACAACTAAAGGTGGAAATATTGATATCTTAAATCAACCACAGACCTTGATTCGGACATTAAATTAAAAAAAACAACCAATTGCTTCAAGATGAGGGAGCACGGAAGTAGTAAATTAATAAAAAACAGGATTTTTGGGTTTAGGACTCATTCCTGCACCACTCTATAGCATTAACAGAAGCTCTCATGATCTTCTCACCTGCATCTGGCTTCCTGGCTCAATGTAGTTGCGGGCCAGGAGCTTTAGAGCTTCATCCATCAAGATGACAGGAAGAGACATCTTCAACACCACCACCCACTGAGGCCAGGACAGAGGGCGTATCTGGAAGATCATCTGAAGCCACAGACAGAGGGGTGGGAGGAAGTTTAAGTTAAGGATGGATAATAAGTGTAGTGTAAAATATATTGATGAGTGCATGCTCACCGGCAGTGGGTCTACATATAGAATGAGGAAGTGTAGAGCCATGGACAGACAGATGGCTCCCACCAGCCAGGGGTTTGACCAAGGAGGCATTTTCAGCAGGGACTGGTTCTCTGAAAGACTGGACAGCATCATACAGTTTAGAACATCTCTTTCCTGGATCTACAGCCTTAAGAAACCATTACAGTCACATGGAATTCATCACAGTGACACAAACTGAAAAAACTGAAACATTGGCTTAATTGATTATGTCAACAAATATCACATAACTGTATTAGGTTAGTTAAAGGCAATAATATTAAAGCTCACCTATTATGCTATATTTGAACAATATATTATAGGGCCATGGCCCATATCTATACAAAATACCAAACAGATCACCCATTGTAGCATGCCTCATACCCCTCTATTTCAGCCCTGTTACTAAAGTGCTGTTTCTTAGTCTAAATGTAACCAAGCTGCTTCTGACCACGCCCCTTTGGAGCATCCGCATGCAAGCAGTGAGCTCTGTGGAGAGAAGGCTGTCTACCAGCAGAAAGTCAGCTAAACGCTGTCGTGATTAAACGCCATATTATGTTCCAAACCACATCAAGCATTATTTCTGAAACAGTATGGAGCTCAAATGCTTTCTCTCTCACGGGTTTCCCACAAGGACAGAACCTTTTATATCCTGCTTCTTTAAACATACTCTCTCCAGTACAGCGTTAGCTCTGAGTGTTAGCGATGCTTGCTAATGTAAACGCAGACCATATTACTTCCAAAACACGTTGTGCATTGTTTCTGATACAGCACATAGCTTGACATGTTCTTTATTCAGTGTTTACCGCTATAACAGCGCCATTATATGTATTATATATATAACAACTTCACTCTAAGTCCCTCCTGTAGACATCCTGCTGAATACACAGACACACAGCTGAGGGGGGGATTCAGCGACTGCATATGGGGACGATAGGTTGGGGCGGGACGTTGCCAGGAGTTCAATGTAAAGCCAGCCCACAGTTTAGTAATGTCTTCATGACCGCAGCAAATCTGGATCAGCTCCGTTGTACCCCCGTTTTTAGAGATGTGGGTAAGGAGGACAAGAGAGAGGGTTGTATTTTCAGACACTTTATGAGTGTCCTTACACACCGGGGACACATATTTAATTATGTATTCAAAAAAGTGCATTTTGCATAATAGGTGACCTTTAAGTTGAACCTAATATTTAAACAGAACAACACTGTAGGAAATGTGCTTGTGTGTGCAAATGTATTTGTTTTATTTTACCTGTTCAAGGCGTTGCACATCTCTATGGTAACCAGGACAGACAGAGCCATCGTCATGGGATAAGGAGACTCAAAGACTGAACACTGCACACCAGCAAACTCAGCGTGGCCTTCACTGCACTGCAGGTAGTGGGACTGATGAGGAAACAGTTATTTTTTACGACATACCATACTATGCCTTTTTTTATTTATTTGCAACACATTTCATATCTATTGCATTATATATCCTACAGTTTATCAATAAATTGCCCTAAAGTTTTTAAGGTCACATATAATAATTTTGTCTGTCTAATGTGATGCAGTGATTTTCTAACTACTATTTTAGGAAACATGTTAACATTTGAATAACATGTAATACCATGTTAATGATCACACTTTAAGATTTCAATTGTTCACCCTTTTGTGTTAGCTCTACAGGAAATCAATTCAACTACAGAAGCATGACAGAAAATGAGTGATGGGGATATAGTGACGTGTTTACCAGTTGATAGAAGGACACTTTTGGTCCGTCGTGGGCTGCCATGAACCACCAGGCAGCAGCCCCCACAGTAGCAGCTCCCACATAACCTGCACAGAGAGGGGGTGGGTAACAGGACATTTATTTTGTCTGTAGTAGAAACTGAGGATCTTATTTTCTGTCCTCGGCTCATGACTCACATCCGATGATGAGGTAGCGACAGAACAACCAGCTGGAGATCAGAGGCTCTTTGGAGGTTCTGGGGGGACGGGACATGATGTCCAGGTCCGGAGGGTTGAAGCCCAGAGCCGTTGCTGGGAAACCGTCAGTGACAAGGTTGACCCATAACAGCTGGACTGGGATCAGCGCTTCAGGCATGCCCAGTGCTGCTGTCAGGAAAATACTGAGGAGAGAGGAAAGACAGATAAGAAGAAGTTACAAAGTTAGTACACCTTCCTGTTCTATCAGCTGTTACTCACCAAACCACCTCTCCTATGTTGGATGATATCAGGTATCTGATGAACTGCTTCATGTTATTGTAAATGGCTCTGCCCTCCTCCACTGCAGCCACGATGGTGGAGAAGTTGTCATCAGCCAGAATCATCTCAGAGGCGGATTTAGCCACCGCTGTGCCGCTGCCCATAGCGATGCCGATCTCCGCCTTCTTCAGAGCAGGGGCGTCGTTCACACCGTCACCTGTCTGAATATTGCAGCTGGTAAGATCTTTGGCAAACACACATTTGTGGTACTTACACCTTTTGTTCAGCAGGATAACCGACATATATTAACACAAACGTTGTGATTTTTGAAGTGAAAATGCAATCCAGAAGTCAAATGCTATTAGGCTATTAACGAGCTACGTCACGGTCACGTCTTCACTTCAAAGAAAAGCTAAAGGCAGCTTATGTTTGTGTGATGACCTTTTACAATCATTCAGTCACTTGTTAGACTGCTGTTTTTATGACACATAGAAGCTTCAGACCAGGGTGGAATTGAGTGCTAGCTTTTGGTGGGACTTCTGAAAGACCACTCAAATGTCCCTGATTAAAGTATCAAGTGTGCCAGTTTGTTTGATTTCTGGCCCTTAACAGCAGTCTCAGTGCTCACTGATTAGAAGGGTGTGGCCCCACAGCTGGAGCCAACTGAGTAATCTGTGTCTTTATAAACCAGCATTTACTTCAAGCCTCAGCTTCAGCATCAAACGGAGACTGACAAGATATAAAAGTCTAGTGGAAGGCGAAATGGAAGTGAATTAAACATTGTCTTGCCTTTGGATAACAGCGTCAGCTGTACGAACATGATGCAGTGTCAATCAAATTCCCAAATTAGGATAAATAAAGTAGATCTAATCTAATCCAATGAAATACAGGCAATACAAATGCAATGTATTTACTGACGTATTTTATGTTAAGAAACATGAAAATCTCTAAAGCCAATAATCACAGACCTTATTTTAGGCATCTAACCAAACACATGTTACACGACTCATTCCTGCACCACTCTATAACACCATGAGGCTGTGCTCTTACCATGGCAGTGATTTCATTGAGGCTCTGGAGGTACTCCACTATCCGGCTCTTGTGTGCCGGCTCCACCCGGGCGAAGCAGCGCACCGTCCTGCAGGCCTGGCGCTGCAGGTGGGGGGGCAGCTCGTCAAACTCCCTCCCTGTGAGGCCCCCATTGATCCCCAAGCCCTCCTGCTCCTCCTCCTGTTCTGTGATGATGCCCACCCTCCGACAGATAGACAGGGCTGTGCCTTTGTTGTCGCCTGGAAAGAAAGGAATCATCAGCTAATCGTGTTCATCCGTTTGATGCAAGAAGCCTTCTAGCTAAACTAAAGGCAAGGCAAGTTTATTTATATAGCCCTTTTCAACACAAGGCAATTCAAAGTGCTAAAGGAAGTGACACCCCAAGCTGACAAAAACTAAGCAGCGGTGTACTCTGCAATTGTATTATATACATTATGTATTCATTGTTTTCTGCCAATTGCTTTCCAGTGCTCATATTCAAAATACAGATGTTTTAGTTTTCTGTATAAACAGATTATCTGGTGCTTTCTAACAAGATGCTAGTGAAGCAACTTCACCTTTGTTTGGGTTCATTTTGAATGAAGTACAAGGAACAATGTCATCATTCTGTCAACGCGTTTTCATATCTTCTCATTTGGGTAATACTCTCATATTCATTACCATTGATACATATTCTGTCAATTGCACATACTTATTGTATTCTCATAAGTTACATCATAATCACAGCATATGGAGTAATGTCAGATCCCTTTTGTTTAAGTTCTAAGGTCACTGCTTACATGTTTGGCTTTTCTGTTAGCTCTTCAGGAGCTATATGCATTTTCAGTATTGTAAATATGAAGCTTAATCCTAGTGAAATGGTATATTGTCCAATGTTCAAATACCAAGTGAAAATGTACATTGTAGAGTATTCAAATGTATTCAGTATTCTCTTAATATTGTGTATTATATGGATACTCTAGTGATATATGTATTTTCTATTGCAATTGTATTATATATTTGTATCTTATTCTATCTTTTAAATGTTTTTAACTCATGTGTAATGCTTGACACTGCTGCTGACTAAATCATTTCCCAATTTGGAATGAATAAAGTATCTGTTTATAAAATGTTACGTTTACTAGTTGTTGTGCACATATAGAGTACATCTAGATGTGTGTGTGGTTGTGTGTGTTACCTGTGATCATGATGACCTTGATGCCAGCCTGCCGACACATTCGGACCGCAGAGAGCACCTCTTTCCTGGGGGGGTCCAACATGCCCACACAGCCCACAAAGGTCAGGTCCGACTGGGGAGAGAGAAGAGAGGGGGGGCTAGTTTAGATAGAGTAACTTGAAAATACTATCCAGTTTACAATGCCCATTCGGCACATACATGGCAGTACATTAAGTGTTCCATATATTTATACAACGTCACCTCGTAGTCAGCAAAGGTAGCGGAGTTCTCCACGTTGAGGCCTTTGTTGTCAGGGGGTGTGTCCCTGGTTGCCATGGCGAGGCAACGCAGCATGTCTCTGCCTGCTCCCCACTCCCGCACAGTGGACAGGATCTGCTCTCGGACCGCCGCGCTCAAAGGCACACGACAGGAAGCGCCGACCCGGATAAAGTTACAGCGCTCCAGCACGCTCTCTGGAGCTCCCTGCAGACAGAGGGGGGGGGGGGGGGGGGGGGGGGGGGGGGGGGGGGGGGGGGGGTTAGACACTGCAGGGGATATGAAGAGAGACGTTTTATAGGAGTTCTTGAAACACACCTTGACGAACATCTTGGCTCCAGAGGCGGACCTGATGTGTTTATTGGATGAACAGAAGACAGACATGGACTTCCTGTCTCTGGAGAACTCCAGTGTCAGCTCCTTCTTCATCAGCTGCTTTATGACCTGAAAACAACAACAACACAACTTTCACATGTACACTTGGTAGAGTACAGTGAGCTTTCCTGGCAGAACATACACATATCATATTAGCAGTTCAGAATATATCACACGGACTAAAGTATGTATTTAAAGGATCCTACCTAACTTATAAAGTAATGATAAGACAGAGGTTAGAATATTTCTGTTACTAACCATATGTATACAGTAGGGCTGCACGGTATTGAAAAAAACTGACATCGCGATTTTTTTCCCCCCCTGCGGTATATATTGCGTTTTTTTTAACCTGTTAAACCCCAAAGTCCCGGCGGGTACTTTACTTTTTTTTTCACGACAGTGTCTCAGGGGATCGTAATATTTAAGAACCTATTAATGTGTTATACCAGATTAACGTAATAATCTCAGCTAATTGACGATACAAACCATTTTATACCAAAACAAAACACAAGTCTCATAAGAAGCATCTAAATGACCCCTGAGCGAAAAATGCTAACGCACTTTGGCACAGAACTCAAGATAAAAGTACCCTTATTACTTATCGTAGCTGCACATACAAGATATCCGATTAAAGCTGAGGTTCCACAGATTATTTAGGTATATAGTATCATCACTGAGTGATCTGAACTCGGACAGGGGAAGCAAACACAGACATCACAACACGTACCTTTACGTAGCTTCTAGGGGAGATGTCTCACCGTAGCTGTCAATCTGATCAAAAGACGTGTTCAATGGCATTAAAACGAGAAAGAAAAAACGCGGCTGAATCGGTTAATCCATAGGTTTTTAACGTCTCTGTATAAAAAAATGATTTAATTTATAATCCATAATTCCATTTTTATGTAAATATCGCAGAGAAAAAGTTAGCTGCTAATGGTAGCCACCAGAGTGGCTGCTGCTTCCGGTCTTGGCAATGCGGCAGTCCAGCGCAGTCTAACACACACACATTACCAAATAAGGAGTGAGAGTGACGCGTAGCCAAAACCGGAAGCTGCATACCACCAAGGTGGCTACCATTAGCAGCTAACTGTTGTGCTCCGATTTTTACATAAAAATGGAATTATGGATTATAAACAATTGCTTCAAAGCCACAGATACATTATCAATCTATGGATCAACCGATTCAACCGCGTTTTTTCTTTCTCGTTTTAATGCCATTGAACACGTCTTTTGATCAGATTGACAGCTACGGTGAGACGATCTCCCGTAAAAGCTCCGTAAAAGGTACGTGTTGTGATGTCTGTGTTTGCTTCCCCTGTTGCGAGATCGGATCGCTTAGATACTATACTTAAATAATCTGTGGAGTCTCAGCTTTAATCAGATATATTGTATGTGCAGTTTCGATAAGTAATAAGGGTATCTTTATTTTGAATTCTGTGCTAAAGTGCGTTAGCATTTTTTAAAAAATGAATAAAACCGCACGTCCCTGCGGTGTGAATACCGCGCATGCGCATACCTCGGTTATCGCCATGACACGGTATATCGTTCAGCCCTAGTATACATTTATAAAGTGTTATTTTAAGCAATTTTGCAGACTATTTAGGATGGCTTATTGTAACAAACCATTTTCCGGAAGAAGTTACCAAAGAAAAATCTAGAAATGAAACAGTGAATGTTTGCTGCAGGTCTGTGTGTGAATGTGAAACTAGAGTTCACGGGTCAACACGCAGAACATTCGCTGCATGTCTCTGAGGAAACGCGTTGAGATGCATTGATATTTCTGAAGTCAGAAGGAGCGATCAATATGTCATTTTCACCAGCATCACTTTACATGTACAGACACACTTACTGAGCAGCAGGCTGTAGCTCTCTCTGTAGGGCGGAGTCCTCTCAGCTCAGTGTCGAACACGTTCATCTTCTCCACCAGACAGATGAGCGCCGTCTCTGTGGCCTCCCCAACCTTCTCAAACACACCCTTAGACTGACACACACACACACAGTGGTTTTAGTATGCCGTTTTGACTTTGTAAGTGTTAACACATAACCAGTTTAAGGTCATCTCTGCAGTCATGTCTTACCTCGTTGAAGTCCAGTGACGAGTCATTGCACAGAGCACAGATGGAGGCTAGCTCCACCAGGCCTTCATACTGACTGCACTTCACAACTGAGCCATCCTTATACCTGCAGACACAGCATAAAGAGGGAGGGGATGAACACAAATGGTAAGGATAAGGAAGGGGAGATGAATTGAAGGCTGTTTTAATCCATATGAATGATCCACAGACTGCCAGGGGTTAATGGCTAAGTATTAAAGACACTCACACTTCCCCTTCAGGGGCGTAAGTAGATCCAGTCACTGTGAACTCGTTCAGGCTGCAGCGCTCCCCTGACACACTGTCTACTACAAACATCTAAACGCACACAATTGCAAACACATGCAGAAAAACAATGCAGGAGTTGATTAGTTCCATAATATTAGAAGACAATGAAGGTTAGGTCCACATTCCAACAGGGCATTTTACACTCAGGCAACTTCTGAAATATATATAGCGAAACTCATTTTCATCTCTTTTCTAATAGCAGAAATGCTCAGATAAAAGCTTTCAAACATCTGTGGCCAGCAAATACAGAGAGGGTGGGAAACATTGAAGGGGATTGGGGATTTAGGATGAAGTCAATGTTAACAGGCCCGATTCCATCAGTTCAACAATCATTCATTATTTCCAATTGCTTTTACTTTGCTGATTTTCCATTTGTTTTTAAGATACTGTTGATGCAACTGTTTCCCAACATGTGCTGTTGTAGTGGGCTTTAATGTGAGATATCTGTCAAATGTAGTGTTGCAGTAGGCAAACTGGATGAATGTGAAGTATTTTGTTAAAGGAGGATGAAAGCGTAATTAAGGAGCACTATTGGAGTGACTTTGATGGTTATTGGACTCAGGATTAATTCATTTGGATTCCTGCTGTATGAAGAAAATAAAGGACGGCGCAAGTGGAAACAATTCACAAAGGGATTAAACTGTTTAAAACACATGCTCAAAGTAAGCCGGATTTTGCCGATGTGTTTATGTGGATTCAAAAGTCGTAAATAATCTACAAAATGGAGGAGACCGATCTGATCGGAGCAACTGTGACGAATAATCCAACTGAAACCGGCATGGACAATGACTATGCTTTAAAAATGCGCTTATCCAGAAAAGCCCGGTTTGGACACTTTACGGGCAGAAGAAACATTTCTATTAAAGAAAGAATTATACATTTGTTTTTTTATGCCTTTAGCTACTAACTTGAATTTTTATTAAAATGAATTAATCAATTATTTTTTATATGTTATTGTAATGTAGAGACAAGGCTTTTAGTGACAATCATGTATTGCTTTACAATTATATGTAGTAAAAAAAAAAGTCTAAAGTTGGGAACCACTGATTTAGGGTATATGCTTTACTTATGTAAGATTACAAATGTGTTAACCTAAATGCAGTATTATAGTCGTTAGTTTTATATAGTACACTACTTTTTGTAAATAAAATCATTAAAACTCTGTGGCCTTCTTTGGATGCTCCCTCATGTTTAACTGATCAATGCCACCATGCCATGATGTGTGTGTGTGTGTTCTTACCCTGCACACGGACATCTGGTTGGTGGTCAGTGTTCCTGTCTTGTCAGAGCAGATGACAGAGGTGCAGCCCAGCGTCTCCACTGACGGCAGACTGCGCACAATGGCGTTCTTCCTGGCCATCCTCCTGGTGCCCAGAGCCAGGCAGGTAGTGATGACGGCTGGGAGGCCTGATGGAGAGAACCAGAAGCAGACCATGGCCATGAGAAGGCTTTCTTTAAGAGAGGAAAATAGTCTAAACAGCTTCATCGTCTTTTTTCTAGTGTTGTCGTTTGGTTAAAAAACGTAATTTAGTGAATTGTAATAATAATCTAGTACAATACTAGTATCAACATTTATTTTCTGTTTTGCAGTAAGATAAAAAAAAATGTCACCTAATTAGCAGACAACCACATAAAGAACGTATTTAAGAACGCGAACAGTCCTTTTTCTAGCTTGTTACCAATTTTCCGACACTTAACTAAAGCATGGACAAAGCCGCCCCCTCTGTATAACGTGTGCCACACAGGGCCTGTTCTCTCTGCTGCTATCATAATGCCAGTCGATATCTGTTCATACAGTGAGGATCTCCCACTCCTCAACTAAAGCGAACCATCTCATTTTAAAAGTGAATTTTCTGTTCGGAACAGATAGGGATATCACCTCACTCATCCTGTTATCTGGTTGCCATGTATCACAGGAGTACAAATCAGTGCTGGAATGAAGGGAGGGAGTTGGGATCAAACTTGGTAATGTGACTGATTCAGACCCTTTGATTTAACACGTTTCCTTTTTCAGATAAACAGTGAGCATTAATGCATTATCGTTGACAGCCCTTCTTTTTCGTGTCAGGCATTGCCAGGCTTCATTGTTGGGTTGTAGGTGCCTTACTCAATGGCACATGTAAGGTTATTTAGAGTGAGAGGAGAACGATGCACCATGCCTATTTGTCCGTGCACTGACAGTGTAAAAACACGAGTAAGAAGGGATGTTTCTGCATTGATAGATATGAATGTTTGACCTTCTGGTATGGCAGCCACAGCCAGAGCCACAGCGATCTTGAAATAGTACACAGCTCCTCTCAGCCAGCTGCCTCCATGGACCGGGTCGTTGAAGTGTCCCACATTGATGGCCCATACCGCCACACAGATCACACTGATGACCTGCAGGGGAACAGAGAAAGATATATCATTTTCTCCACTTGACAATGTATCACAATAAATGATAAGGTTTGCCTTGGGTCCTTGCCTTAGACAGCTGTTCTCCAAACTGGTCTAGTTTCTGTTGCAGGGGGGTCCTCTCAGGCTCAGTGGCAGCCATCTCATCTCGGATTTTCCCAATCTCTGTCTGCACCCCTGTTGCCACGGCAACCCCAATGGCACGGCCCGCTGCAATGTTGGTTCCCTGGGCAAAGGTCATGATCTTTACTGTCAAACTTGTTCTCAAAAGAGTTTTCAGCATTGAGCAGTTTCATAGATTTGATTCATTCTCATGTAGCTACATTTAAACATGACTGCATATCTACATTATTACAGAATACACTGATTTCTGTGATATCAGAGGAATGGAATTAAGAATAAGTTGATTTTAGCTTCATAATGTAATGATAAGAAGCTAATTAGTTATTCACCTGGCATTGTTTTGCTTTCAAACTAAACTAAAATGTACCCCAATTTACAATAAAAACATGGGTGGTGCCCAAAGTATTTCATTCTGTTACCCAATATAAAACTGTAAAAGTGTTTCTGATAGTCGGCGTTAAGTGCCATCAAAATCTACACTCTTCAAAAGGTATGTATTTCTGATTCATTATTTGGAGCAATTGGTTATTCATTATTACAAATATGCTACAAGCTATTAAGATACTTGGTAACTAGGGTCAACAGTGACCTCTAAGCGGACAGTTATATATATAATAAGCAATGTTGAGTGCTCCAGATAAGCGGGTCAGATTAACCCTCTAAGACCTGCAGCACTGCCAGCTGTAGCGGGCAGCATATACGATATGAAACTAGGAAACCTAGCACATCCTCTGGTACCTTAGTAGTAAGGATCAAAATAGGAAAAGGATAAACTAGCATGGCCTTATTCACAGGGCTCCGTGGACTTTTCAATTTAAGAGATCTGACTGAATTGAGTTTTGACTGATCTCCCCTTTACTGTTATGCGTATGTATGTTGTTGTGGGACTCACAGAGAAGAGCATGTTCTTCTTGTCCTGGTTGACGGCTCGGGGGTCTGGGACAGGGTCTGTGTGTTTGAGAACAGACACAGACTCCCCCGTCAGGATGGACTGGTCCACCCTCAGAGTCGTGGAGCAGATGGAGGTCAGCCGGATGTCAGCCGGGACCTTATCCCCAACTGCAAGGTAATAAACAGATAATAATTTCATTTTGTCCTTACATTTAGATTAGGACTATTGTGGGTTTTAATTCAACACTGTATATTAACTTCGCGATGAGTGATAAAGAAGGGTGCCTCTTAAAAATCCAAGCGGGAGAAACTGTACAGTTACTCTTTATATAATCATTTTAAAAAACTTGAAAGTGGACAATATTGCAATACTGCTTGTCTTTCCTTCCCACTCTACTATCTCCACATAATAACATAATAAAAGAACTCTACAGGCCAAGACACCAAGGTGACCTCAAATGTTTATATATCATATAAAACAAAACAAAATAGAAATAGCTAATTTTTTGTTTTTTTCACACTCACTGTCAGCAGTAATCTGACTGCTTAATGTGGGTAAGTACAGCATGTGCAAGCCAGGATTCGTATTTGTAGCGCTTGTTTTACAGTGAAAGAGCAATCTCTGAGACATTCACATTTCAAGTGCCTTTCCTTCATCCTTCAGCTTAACGTTAGGGGTCATTAGGGTAACATGCTTGGATGTATACAGAGAACTGGATACAGCATTCTTTTTGGGCCCATATTACATCACATGACTGACACAGAAGTTGTAGTTCAACTGTTTGGTCACTTCAAAAACGTGGCCAGCTCACTTCCTGTGGGCTTGGTAACACTTGACAAAGTTAAAGTCAATTATTTAATGAGGTTAACACATCTTACAATGTATCCATAAGTCAAAGGATTTATAGGAATGTTCTGTTGATTCACGAGTATGTGAGCGTCTTGCATATAAACAGGGAAACGTAGACTATATTTGACACAAAGATTTAAATATAATGTTTCACCTGTTTCCAAAGAGATACATGTGTTCATGACATTCAAACCCCAGTGCAGTGCCTGTTTGGCAGATTGCTTGGTCTCCAGGTTTGCTCCATGCAGCTTTCCAAAAAGCGTTACCACATCACCACAATTCTGGCCTCACTGCACTGGCTTCCAGTTCGGTTCAGAATTGATTTTAAAACCCTTTAATTTGTTTTCAAAGCCCTAAATGGGCTGGCTCCGGCCTATATAGCTGAACTCCTCCATCGCTACACCCCAGGCAGAGCTTTAAGGTCCGCTGATCAGCTGCTGCTGGTGGTGCCCAAGACCAGGCTCAAAACCCGAGGGCACCGAGCCTTCGCAGCAGCTGGCCCTAGGCTCTGGAACACTCTGCCCCTCCATGTGAGGTCGGCCCAGACCCTAGGGGTTTTTAAATCCTCACTAAAGACTCACTTCTTCTCCCTGGCCTTCTAGCCAGAGCGGAGCACGACTCCTGACTTTTCCCTGTGTTTTATTTTATTTTATATTTCTGTTGTAAATGATTGTCTTTTATTGTGATTTTAGTAAAGTGTTTTTATTACATGTACAGCACTTTGGCTCGACCAAAAATCGCTTTTAAATGTGCTATATAAATAAAACTTCATTTGATTTCCTGATACTGCTCATCCAAACTAATGAACTCGACACTGGGCTTCCTTATGTGTTTGGCAATTGTTAGAAATTAAAATCAATGTTTTGATGGCATAATGTACCTTAAATGTACCTTTAGTTTAAACTGTTTTATACTGAAAAAACAGAAGTTCTTGTGCACAACCAGTTAGACTTTTATTCTGAAAATCCTTCACCTCCGGTTAGCATTTAGCATGAGGCTAATATACAATTTCCTATAGAGGTGAATTTAGCAGCGATATGATATGATGTTGCACACCGAAACCTACTGATTTCAACACTACAACTATAGACGTCGAGATATTATTATTGTTGGATATTAAATGAAGGTACAGTTTATTTGAGTACGTTATCGTTTACAGATGTGGGTAGCATGTCACAACATTCGGAGCGACCGGAAATCGAATTGCTGTGAAGGATTTCCTGTATTTTTTGGAGTGTTGATTACAGCGTTTGGAATGTGTTGAATGGAAAGTCATGATAGAGTTAAGGAGGAGAAAAGGAGTGTTTAGATATATATTGAATGTACAATGTCTGTATACTGTGATATGTGTAACAACGGACATTAAATAGTCGGAGAGCCGGCCCCCAGGGAGGAGCCAGGAGAGGCTATATAAACAACGAAACCTGAGGGGTTCGGCCTCTTTTCTCTGCTAGCGAGGGCCAGAGGCAGCTGCTTTTCTGTCGGACTTATATCCTGTTTGTGACTTTACCACGCTTTTTATTAATTAAAGTACCAATTTGAAAACATCTCAGAGACTCCATTTAGTCTCCTTTTTAAGCTTCTCTTTCCTGGACGCGAGAATAACCATCACAGTTAACAATTGGAATGACTCCGACGTGATTCTCGTTGCACCGGGAGAGACTATACACGCGGCTGTTCTCTGGAGCCGCTGGCAAACCCGTTCGACACACAGAGAGCTCAAACTACGGTAAAGAAGAAGCCTGTTACGTCAAAATTCTTCAATAGTTTATGCAGAACAATCTTAGGACTGTGTGTTGGACGGCTGCTTCCGGTTCCTGAAAATAGCTGGGAAATTAATGTTAAAACAACCAAATTTATAACAATAACAATCATAACACGTGGCGTTGCATTTTCACAAGCAGGGTGAGTTCAAATTACTTATTTTTCTTATATTTAACCCTGCATGCTATTTGTTTGTCTGTTATTACATGTCGGCGAGGCTAATCATTTCAATTGTTTCTTGTTACGTCTCAATTTAAACGTGAATGGTTTTAGGCCATTAATCAGTGGGGACTGGTTGAGACAAGAACAAAGTGGAATGAGTGTTTGTGTTAAGGACAGTGTGAGGCTGTTTTTACTTTTTACAAGTTCTTTGTGTGATGATGGCAATCATTTAAAGTGTTTCTTGTTACGTCCTAATTTAAACGTGAATGGTTCTAGGCCATTAATCAGTGGAGACAAGAACACAGTTGAGTGAGTGTTTTAATTACAGCAAGGGGCTTTCTTATTAAAAAAGTCCTTTTTGAGGAAAAGGCCTGAAAAGTTTGAAGTTCAGTGGTTGTTTTTTCTGTTTTCTAACAGACATTGCGCGTGGATTACGACAAGGAGTGCGACATTCGTGCGTTAGACAGACGATATTCTGCTGATTGTGTTTGCTTGGCGCCTTACTTTGTCCCATGATAGCGTGTTTAAACAGAGGAGATAACCATACTGGCTCTTAAAGTCAAAACATTACGTACACAGGTTGAAGGCTGTGACGTAAGGGTATAAGGCCCATTTATAATTGTAAATTACATAGAAATGTTATTTTAAACTGCAGTGTTGTTTTGTGTTGAGAATTAAAAGATCACCCTCATTATTTAAACTCCCCAGTGAGAGCCACGAGGTGTTTTCAAATCCCTTTGTTCTTCAGGTCAAAGGTTGGAAAATCAGTTGCCATCTTGTCTTGTCCTCATGCTGAAGCCACACGGCAGTCGCCATTTCGTGAAATGCTAATTGAAAGTACTCTGTTTGTTTTGACTCACAGTCCCACTCACATGAGGCTAGGCAAATCATATTTCTTGGCAGAGTTGGAACTATAAAATAGACAGGTTATCTTACCGTGGGAAGTTTGATATTTGTAGGAGTCTGTATTTGAGATATTCTTGTTTGCAAGTGCGTATTGGCGGTTTATTTGAGATATTCTTGTTTGCAGATGTGTTTTGGCGGTTATGTGCTGTGTTGTTTAACCATATTCTAATTTTCTTCTCATTTTTAAGGAAATAAGCTTCTTCTTGTTAAAAAGAGGTCAGTTTTGCAACAGCTATCCCTAGTGGATTAAGCTGGAAATTACAACAGCGCACTCTGCTGGTAATACAGAATTATTACAAAGATACTATAACATTTTGAAGCTTGATTTTGAGTATTATGAATGAACACATGCGCAAATCGCCAGGACAGAATTACAAAGTGGTTTCTAATTAAAAGATGAGAAACTTTCAAACTAGGCTGTAGAATATTCAAACACCAATTGATTAAAGCTAACACAAATTATGACATTTACATAATTTCATACACTACTACTACTGTATGCACTGTACACACTGGATTTAGATTTTCACCAGATTTCTAATTTTCATATTTTAAAGTCAAAACCATACACTGTACAATTTTTTTATTTTATCATTTCAGATTTTAAAATTTGCATAATTTGTATTTTTTAATTAACTTTATTATTTTTTTTTAAAAAATCATAATTTTTTTTTTGTAAAAATCTATAAAAACAAATAAATAAATTTTAAAAAAATTGACACCACCTCACACATTGTCACCCTTCACTGGCAACTTCCAGAACATTATTGGGAGTTAGGACTGATTTGGCAGAGCTGGTACAAAACGATAAATAGAAATAAGATAAAGATAGAAACAGCTCAAAAGACGAATTGTCTATAGATTTTTATAGATAGTACACTAAAGTGAAAACCTATTTTTGTTTTACATCTGAAAAAGAGTCCAATTTTTGTATACGTTATTATAGTACTCATTATTTAAATTCTGTAACTGACACCAAGGGAGAAAATAGAGATGATGTCAAGAACAAAGCCAAAGCTATTGTGGGGTCCCCTAGGGATAAGAGTCAGAATAGCATTGTTGATTGTGCTTATTACACTTGGCACCTTTCTGGTTGGATGGGGAGTACAATATCAAGTAAGACATGGATCCATTAGTCCACTCATAGAGAATTCCCACATCACTAACAAAACTCCAGCTGTGTTTTAGAGAGTTTCACTTAAGCCAAAAGATCAGCTGAGCAACAAGAGGAGGAGTTATAAATACTCGGTCCCAAAGGTGAGGCGATTACAATCAAGATGATTCACCCCCCATATATGCAGTTCTTGTATCAAATGATGAGATGGGTTTAAGTGATTGGGATATGTAGGTGATGGGAATTTACAGATTAGGGGAATCTAAAAATACACTGGATCCATGTTTTAGTCTGTGCCAGAAACACCCCTGTTAAGTTTATGGACAACCGACCGGTGACCTGAGCACAATTATTGAAAATGATTACAGTAGA